ACCTGGCTCCGTGCTGCAGCTCGCGACGTATGGGGCGATCGAGGAGTTCAGCAGGATGTAGTCTATCCTGTGGTGCTGCCCCTTCGATCCGACGTGCGTATATGAGTTGCTGCCTGGATCCCTCGTGGTGTTGATGACCTCCATGTTAGTGTCGGCAGCGAAGCTGATGATGTGCTTGCCGTTGCCGCTGGTCACTTCTGGGTACCCACTGGTGCCAACTCCTGGGGACTCGTAGTCGCCAAGACGCCCGTTCAGGTCCCCCGTAAAGATGTCCACTCGGTACTTGTCGGACAATCGCTGAGCAGACTCCCAGAATTCTCTCTTCTCCGCCGCGTGGGAGTCTTCGTGGGGTGCGTATGCAGATGCGATAACCATATCTGTGCCTGCAACGCGGGTCTTGATGATCAAGAGCCTGTCGTGCTGGTGGAGGACGAGGGTGTCTTTGGCACTTAGGTACTTCGCTGCCCCACTCGTGCTGATAGGTTGGGAGACGTTGAGCCAGATGTCGCACCCTCTGTTCTGCTGCATGTGGCCTGATGAGTAGCAGACGTATTCACCTACATTGCGGACGTCTCCTTCGCTCTGGGTCTCCTGCAGGGCGACGACGTGCAGGCCCATGTCAGCAAACTGTGCTGCTAGGTGCGTGGCCTTGGAGAGGCTCTGCTTGCTTTTGCCGGCCGCCTTGCCTTTGCCCGGCTTGAAGCTCACGGTGGCCTTGAGTGACCTGCAGTTGTACGTGCACAGGTTCACGTTGAGGTCGGCCTTGATGGTGATAGTGCTGATGGGCCTCTGGATCGCTCCTGGGGCTGCCTGCGGCTGAGTGGCCTCAATGATGAAGTCTTTATGCCGCAGGGGCGGGTATGCGGCCTTGACCGCGTCTGGCGCTGATCGCAGCCATTCCCAGGAAAGGAACTTGTTGTGGGCGATCGCCTGTACAGCTGCAATGTTCGGGTCCATCAGGTCGCTGGCCGAGGCTTGATCTGCTATCCCATCAGCGAGCTCGTTCCAAGGGTGCCCGATGTGCGAATTAATATGGTGCCACTGGGTGGGTCGGGCTTGTTGGAGGAGGCCTGCAAGTGTGCGAATGACTGCCCCCAACCTCGGATGTACGTGGCATTGGGCTTCGCCTTTGGCCAGGTTGATGACGTTGAGGGCGTCAGGCGTGATCTCGATGGGCGCGTCGGTATCTTGACCAAGGGCCCACATCAACGCCCAGAGTACTGCCGTGAGCTCCGCTGTGTATGCCGTCACCTTCTCGTTGTTGACCATGTCGTCTAGGGTTTCGGTGACTTTGCCAGCAATGAAACCCCGAAAGCCGAACGGGCCTCGCAGGTTGCTCCCGTCTTCGTACTCGTCGACAATGACAACTGCCCAGGCGGCTGAGTGTGGGATGCCGTTGTAGCTGCCGTCCGTGTAGATGTGTGTCCGCCTGGTCGGCAGCTCTCGTGATGGGCACATCTCCAACGCCAACCTTGCCGTGCTGTGCAGGGTCGTAGTGTCGACGTCGTCGCAGACGTTGACTCGGCCTCGGCCACGAAGAGTCTCGGCTACTGGGTCCTGGCTGAGAACTGGCAGCACTGTCGCTTGGCCTCTTTGTCGTGCCGTCGTGGTGGGGATCTGCGGTCGCCTTCGGCCACGCCTGGCCCTCTCTGCATTGATATACTCGGGAGAGTACTCGATGTCGTGGCCTGGCGCCGGCCCCATGCCCTGTGGAACTGGACTTGGTGTAGTGGTGATGTGTGCTGGAGGTGGCCATGGCGTCGGAGAACGCGTTGGTGACGCTGGTGATATGGCTCCAGCCTGAGACGCACTCCGCTTCACGGGTTGTAGTGATGGCATTTGGCTCCCCTCATCGTAGTTCAAGTTGTCCGATCCAGCCCGCGCGGCCTGACTGAACAGGGGCTCGCGTGATTGGGCGTGGAGCATGCTGTCGCGTAGACGATGAGGTTCGCCATCCAGGGCGTCTGGGTGACTGGTAGCACCCGTGCCGTGGTGGGAGCGCGCTGATGCCGAGGGGAGCGTTGGCTTCCAACTGCTGGACAGCGGTGAGCTGCTTGGGCCCGTCGGGACTGGGGGCACTGGTGCTGCTGGTTGAGCTGCTGAGCCCGACGGGTCTGGATCCACCGCCAGGTCGTGGTATCTGTTGTGGCTGCTGCTGTTGTCCCGACGACTGTGGCTCTCCGCAGCACGCCGTGCGCGGCGTGCACTCCGCTGGGCTGTTCGGAAGGCTGCAACTGCGCACGCTTGCCTCCAGTTCTCGTAGCACTGCTCCATGCCATCCTCTGCCTCGCTGCTAGCCGAGTTTTGACCGTCGAGAAAGGTCCTTTCCACGTTCTCGATCTCATGGACTCGAATGGCGGAGGGTTGCACACTGTTTGCAAGGGCAGCCGGTAACGCATCCTTACAGCCATCTTGGTGGCTTGTGACCTGGAGTGCTGACAGATTGGCGGATGCCTCACTCCTCCCTGGTAGTGGGCCGCCTTGGTTGCCGCCTAGCGCCCCTCGAGACGCGGCGGGCGGCCCTCGTGTCGGCCGTGGTGGTGTCACGTTGGCCCCTCGAGACCCAGGTGACTGATGCCGCTGCTGATGCTGGCTGCTGCGATTGGGAGTGGCCACCCCACTGCCGATGCCCGTTGCGGTATCACGTCTGTTTGGAGTCGTGGCCCCTCGAGACCCTTAACTCCTGGGAGTACCTGATCTGGCGCGCGAGATTGTCGGAATCTCCGCTGGTCCATTTGTTACAAGACGGCTGTCGCAATTACCTCCAGGGCCCGCCGTGCTGTCAAGCCTCTGGTGGTGGGTAGGTCGAGCATCGTAGTGGAGGACCCCACTGCCGTGCTGCGGGCTTTGGGCCCCAGCTGCTCTCCCCGATGCTGCCCAGGAGATCGATGCTGTCGAACTGATCGGAGAGCGTGACGAAGTCCCACATCCGTCGTGCTCTGCCCTGTTGGACTCATCGGCCGCCTCCTGGCGATGAATTCTGTCATGCATAACCTGAAGCCTGGCGGCGCTGCTAGGCCCCCTCCCCCCCTCGGGGGGATTCGGCGGGCGCTGCTGCTGCCTGCACCTCGGCTCCAGGAGTTGCAGGAGGGGAGGGGGTTGCTGTGCCCCTTGTCTCGTCCCTCCTGCGGGCCACTCGGCCACGAAAACGGGCTATGCCTGACTCTCCAGAGTCTACCCGCTGACCCTTGTGGGCCTGGCTGATGTCTTCTCCTGGAAATGCGGGCACTGGACCGAACGCCTCTTCGAGGGCTGCAGCTGCGGCGGCGGCTGAGGTGTGCTGGCGCGTCATGATGTCGATGCCCTCATGCTGCCTCTCGATGCTGGCCCCTGCCGCCTCCGCGTTCTGCTGGGACGCAGGGGGAGGGGTCAATACGAAGCTGCCGGCTCCCTCTCCACCACCGTGGCCGCGCTGCTCCTCATGCCCGAATGGAACTGTGGGCGTGAGTGACATCTCACTGAGTGGCGCTGGCGATGCTGGAATGAGGATTGCTTGAGATGCTGTCGGGGTTACCCCTCCTCCTCCTCCTCCTCCTCCTCCTCCTCCTCCTCCTCGTCCTCGTCCTCGTCCTCCTCCTCCTCCTCCTCCTCCTCCTCCTCCTCCTCCATCCTCCCCCTCTTGGGGTTTGACGGTTTCTTCAGCCCTTTATTCCACTATATGCCCCACACCCTTGTTCAGGGCAACTCGCCTGGGCGTGCTTACTTTTTTTTTTTTGTTTTTTTTTTTACAGCCGCAGGCGGAAGCGCCGGCGGCGAGCAGTCACGGTCGGGCTGCGGCCGCGACTAAATTCCCGGGCGCGCACTGGGCGTGCTTACGCGAAGCGTCTACAATATGTTATAGTCGCCCGCTTCCAAATGGGGCGCCGCGAACCCTGGGCACTTCTTAATCGCTTGGTCGCACTCTACCGTCGTGTTTGCTTGTAGTTCGTGGTGGCCGTGGGCCCTGGGCCCTTCTCACCCCAAAAATCCGCGGGGACCTCCGAACATCTACCTAAACCGCGCAAGTGTGGATGAGAGTGAGAAGGCGTCGGGCTCGAGCGCCAATGTCCAGAAGTCTGCTGAATGTGTCAATTTCTCTGCCAAACAGTCAGCCCGCCGTAGACGCCGACCATCGGCAAACCATGCAGGTGGGTCGCGGGGTGCGGCGTCGACTGCACAACCAGCCCACCGCGGGCGACTTCTCTCAATTCAGTGTAAGCGGGTCGCGGGTGGGTCGTGGGCGTGGGTCGCGGGCGGACAGCGGGAAGGTCGCGGGGGCGACGACGACGAAGGCAACACAACAAGAATCTGCACCGCGAATGCGCCGATATCTGGCCCACTCACTCCAGGTGTCTGTGTCAATACCCAATACCTGCCCCCCAAACTGAGCATCGTTTAACCGATCCCAATCCCCACCAGCATAGCATGGCCTCGGCCCCTTTGGCCGATTTGCCCCCCTGGATGGGGATATGGTCTGTCCCCTTCGGGTTTCGAGGGGCCTGTCCCCAACTGGGGTGGGTGGGATGGTGGGGCCGACGACACCACCATGGCCAGGTGAGGGATGGTGGAGTATACTCCGAGTTTCTGAATAAGCGTCGGGGGGACGTCACCCCTGCCGACCACCCCACATCGACCCCCGTCGCGGGCAGCCACCGCGCGCCGAAGGCGCTCCGACCCCCGTCGCGGCGCGACGACGAGGCGAGGCTGACCCCCTCGGGGAGGTACCCCCCACGCTTGTTAAGAGACCCAGAAATATGTTGCTCCGATCGTACTTAAGGACCACGTCCCAGACATAGTTGCGAGCACCCGGAAGAGTGTCGAAAGAGTGTCGAAACAGTGTCGGACAAGTGACTCCCAGGGCCCGACACGTGAAAACCCTCGAGTTTCGGTACTTTTTCTCGTGCTCGAAATTCTGTCTGGTGGTCAAGGCTGAAAAGTAGGTTGGGACATCATAACCCCAGAGCAACTACGGGCCAGACGACACCGACAGACAGCGCGGCGGCGGACACGCGCGGCAGCGCCCACGGATGGATCACGACCTCGCGCGGGCCAGGCCCACGGGCAACCCGCAGCTCTGCGACCGCGCCAGCCTCGGGCGCCGGCCGCGCTCCGACGCCGCCGAAGGGGAAGAAGGCTCGGGACGCGGCGCTGCCGTCGTGGCCCTGGCAAGCGACCAGATGGGAGCCCAACCCCTGCAGGTCGGATTCCTGAGAACCCGGCCGGGGTTCAGAATTTGGAGGATTGTCTGGAGCCAGGTGAGCCCCCGCGAGGGTGCCCGATATCCCCACGTCGATCGGACCCGTGGGGGCAGGGTTCGCAAGGGGGTCGCGGACCTCGGCCTCGACGTGGTCCACCTCGGCACTGGCGAGGTCCACGAGCACCGAGGACACGACCTCCGACCGGCGCAGGTGCAGACGCACCACCCAGGCCCGCGGCTCCCCGTCGCCGATGGTGAGCGTGAGCTCTCCCCTCCCGTCCCCAGCCCACGTGACGTTCGTGCGGTTGGCGCTCTCCCTCTCGTACACGGCGCGCTGCGTCTTGAACGCGCCCGCAGCGGCCCAGACCTCCAGGACGAGAGTCGACCAGTCCAGGTCCTCCACGCGGAGCGCTGCCTCTGGCGAGGCCACCACCAGGCCCCCGTCGCACCGGTGCCACATGGGCTGGCGCTCGTACGGCTGAGTGGAATCGACGCTCTGGGGACCCTCCACCAGCTCCCCGCTCCAGACGTCCTGGCGGAGAGACCGATTCATCACCGACGCTCTGGGAGCCGACCCCGCAAGGAGCACCTCGAAAGAGGCGGTGGATGTGCATGCGCGGGGGCCCGCGAGATCAGCATCCTCTGCCTCCCGACTGGGGGATCGGATCCTTGAGCGGTGATGGATGAGCTCTGGACACGGGAGTCCTGCCACAGCCCCGGGGGGATCCACACTGCCCGGGTGGTGGCGTTCTCGCCACCGTGCCAAATCGGGGCCACGAGGATATCGTCGCACCAGATGTACTGCCCAGGGGTCCGGCTGTCCGATATCTCGGGCCAGTAGAAGTCGCCGCGGGCAACTAGTGGGAACCCCGTCTGGGTTGCCCTCTGCCCGAACGCGATAATGGTTGGCATCAACTTGTAGCGGAGCTCCAGGTATTGGCGTATAGTGTTCTCTGGCCCGTCCCCAAACACCCAAGGCTGGTGGGCCCCACCGTGAAACCGCACTATGTTTCCAAAAACGCAGTGCGCGGTCCACCGCAACAACTCACCAGCTGAGAACTCGCCATCGCCACCACAATCCGAATGCAGATAGGGCTTGAAATCATATAGGCCGGCATTCACCATGCTCTCGACGCTCCCCTTCAGAGTCACGTCATCACCAGTCCACCACACTGGGTATCGGTGCTGTGCTGGAGTTTGGGCATGAAGACCTGGATCTTCCCCAGCGACGAAGTCGCCCATGGCAAACTTCGTCAAAGCCAGTGGACGGCTATTGCGCCTGCTCAAAAGAGGGCGCGAAGTTGCGTCATAGTGCGCATCGATCGAGTAGTAGACGTGAGAGCCCCACACTACGTTAGTGAGCCCCTTGTAGGACGAGTTCGTGGCCGCCGATGCAACCATGGGAGGCGGAATGCAGAACCCCCAGTTGTGGTCGAACCACCAGAAGTCCAGGCCTTTTTCCAGCCATCTTGTCAAGCCTTCCCATCTGAAATCCGCCCGCACCCCTGTGGGGCCATCAAGCTGCGTGGCTTACGCTTGCAGCTCCCTGCTCCAATTCCAGTTTCAAACATCCCATGTTGTAATTCTACGTTCTACTCTCTTCAATGAACTGTTACTGTCCGCGCGAGGGGGGCCCAGACCAGCATTCCCCCACGCTCCCCCCAAGTGGGTTCAGAATTCCCTGGTGGGCTGTGGGACACGTACAGACACATGAGATTCGCGCCCCCGAGGCTACCATCCGTTTTGAATTGCGCAATTTTCGTGTACCCGCCGCCACGATCCCTCGTAAAACGACGCCATGATCCTTAGTGAAATACTGTTTCGTCGTCCGAGGCCATGCTACTTCTCAAATTGCTCAACCATCGCGTCCCCGAGGCCACGATCCTTTTTGAATAACGGCATGCTCGCGTCCCTGAGGCCACGATCCTGTGCAATCACACCGTATTCGAGTCCACGAGGCCACGATCATAAGTAAATTAGGCCATATTCGCGTCCTCAAGCTACGATCATCAATACATTACGCTATGCGTCCCGAACGCTACGATCCCTCGTAAAATGTGCAATGCTCTCGTGTTCGATGTAACGATTCCTTTTTAATCACACAGATGTGAACGCCGCCGAGGCCACGATCCCTGGCACATTACGCCGCATTCGCGTCCGCGAGGCCACGACCCCGTGTAACTATTCGTGTCCCCGAAACCACGATCACTGGAAATTGTGCAGTGTTCGCGCCGATGCCACGACTCTAACGAATTACGCCATGCTCGCCCCCCCGAGGCCACGATCTCGAGTAATTTACGCCACATTCGCGTCCCCGAAGCCACTGCCCCTGGTAAAATATTCAAAGTAAGCTGTCAAACCCGCGCGAGTTAACCAAACATAGCATGAATCAACACCCAATTGTCACACGAGGGTCTTCAATACACACTATAAAAAATCGAGAAACAAATACATGATAGACCCACGCATCCGGAAATGAATTTAGAAATGCGAGAGCATGGCCACGTTTTCAAGACACCTGGCTGGGCGACAAGCAACTGCAATGCTGACGGCATCGATCGTGATGTAACGAGCCAGGGATTGTGCTGTGCCGTGCTGGAATGAGCTGCGTCATGCTGCAATGACGTGCATCGTGGTGTGGATCAAGTCGCCCTTGGCATGCAAATCCTGACCGAAATAACCTGGATCTTAAGCTCGAGCTGCCTGAACGCATGGATGGCCCAAAACTGGTTGCAGCCGAAACGTGTGGGACGCTCAATCAGCTCGAGCTCAAGATGCGACTCAGTTGCAAAGTGGGGCTAGACGACACGGTGCGCAAGGCGCATGGACGCGCCACGGAGTGTGCAAGGGGCGCGCTAGGGGATGCGCCAAAGGGCGTGTCAGGGGACGTGGCAAGGGACGCGCCACGGAACGGGCAGGGAAAGCGACAGGGGGCAAACCAGGGAACGCGACAAAGACGAGCCAGGGGGCGCGCCGAGGGGAAAGGCATACGCCGTCCCGCCCTGAAGCATTAAGAGCACATGTGTTTTCACGCTTGTCCCGCTCTGGGGGGCTTTGGAGCCCACGTGCTGTCACGTGTCCAGGCCGCCCAGAAACGGACATCGAATATGTGGTCGCGACAACACGTGACTCCAGCTCGGGGCAACCAAGTTAGGTAGCACCCCCCCTAGGTGGCCCGCATACGTACACACATGGTTCCAGCTCGGGGCAACCATGTTAGATACCCCCCTGGGTGGCCTCGACATGCGAGAACACACGGTCCCAGCTCGAGGCCACCATGTTAGATACCTTATGGGTGGCCTGGACATGTGAGAAAACACGCAGTCCCAGCTCTGGACCACCATGCGAGATACCCAAGGAGGGAAACTGGGAAATCTCAAGCCACCGAGACTGTATCAGGTTATTGCACATCTGGCGTAGATTCATAGGTTTTCTCTGGCTCTTGTCGGCCACGCTGGGGCGCAAACTGACCACATGCCACGTACCGCCACCATGTTAGACACCCCTCTGGATTGCCCGTGCACATGCAAATAAAATGCTGCAACGCGGGACAACAATGCTAGATACCTCTCTCGGTGTCTTGGGACAAGAGGCGACCGTCTTGAAAAAAAACACGGGCGGTCTGGACACGTGGGACACACATCGTTCCAGCTCGGGACCACCATGTTAGACATGCCGCTGGATGGTATGGACACGTAGAAACACGTGGCTCCAGCAGACGACCACATGTTAGATACCCTCCGTGGGTGACCCGCACATGCAAAAACACATGGTTCCAGCTCAGGGCAACCATGTTAGATACCGCCCTGGGTGGCCTGGATTCGGTCATAACAAAAACATGTGGTTCCAGCAAGGGGCAACCATGTGGGTTATCCTCGTGGGTGGCTTGGACATGCGACAACACGTGGCTCTGGCGCTGGGCCCTCCTTGGGCCACCATGTTAGATTCCCCAGGTGGTAACCTGGAAACTCACCAGCAAAGGAGGCTGTGCCAAATTTTGGCACATTTGGTGTCGATTGATTGATCTTCTTGTCTGGCTCTTGTGGGCCCCCACGTTGCGACCCCCCCAGGCGACCCCATGTTAGATACTCCCCCGTTGGTGCCCCGCACACGTAATAACACGTGATTCCAGCTCGGGGCAACCATGTTAGATACCCCCCTGGGTGGACTGACTACGTAAAAACAACATGGTTCCAGCTCGGGGCAACCATGTTAGATACCCCCCTGGGTGGCCTAGACATGTGAGAACACACGGTCCCAGCTCGAGGCCACCATGTTAGATACCTTCTGGGTGGCCTGGACACGTGAAAGCACGCAGTACCAGCTCTGGACCACCATGCAAGATACCCAAGGGAAACTGGGAAATCTCAAGCCACCGAAACTGTATCAGGTTATTTCACATCTGGTGCAGATTCATCGGTTTTCTCTGGCTCTTGTCGGCCACGCTGGGGCGCAAAATGACCACATGCCACGTACCGCCACCATGTTAGACACCCCTCTGGATCGCCCGTGCACATGAAAATAAGTTGCTGCAGCGCGGGACAACAATGCTAGATACCTCTCTGGGTGGCTTGGGACAAGAGGCGACCGTCTTGAAAAACCCCCTCCGGGCGGCCTGGACACGTGGACCACACATCGTTCCAGCTCGGGACCACCATGTCAGTCATGCCGCTTGATGGTATGGACACGTAAAAACACGTGGCTCCAGCAAGCGACCACATGTTGGATACCCTCCGTGGGTGCCCCGCACATGCAAAAACACGTGGTTCCGGCTCGGGGCAACCATGTTAGATACCGCCCTGGGTGAACTTAACACGTAAAAGCATATGGTTCTAGCGAGGGGCCACCATGTTAGATACCCCCATGTGTCGCCTGGATACTCGAAAACACGTGGTTTTCAATCGGAACCACCATGTGAGATACCCCAGGGGAGAAATCTGGAAAATCACCAGCCGAAGAGACTGTGCAAAATTATGACACATCTACTGTCGATTGACTGATCTTCTTGTCTGGCTCTTGTGGGCACGCTGGGACCCCCCAGAAGACCACATGTTAGATACCCCTCCGCGGGTGTCCAGCACACGTAAAAACAAGTGGTTCCAGCTCGAGGTAACCATGTCAGATACCGCCCTGGGTGGACTGGACACGTGAAAAAAGGGGGTTCCAGCGAGAGGCCACCATGTCAGATACCCCCATGGGTGGCTTGGACAGGCGAGAACACGTGGTTCCAACTCGGCGCCACATTGCTAGACAACCCCCTTGGCGGACTGGACTTATGAAAACACGGTGTTGGAGCTCGGGGCAATCATGTTAGATACCCCCTGAGTGGCCTGGACACGTAAATACACGTGGTCCCAACTCGGGAACACCATGTCAGATACCACTCTGCGTAGCCTGAACAAGTGGACACGTAGTTCCACACGTAGTTTCAACTAGGGACAACCATGTTAGATACCCCCCTGGGCGGCATGAAAGCAAACATTTCACCTGAGACATCCCCTGAAGTTTGCCTCCCGACGAGGCCCCCAGTCGAGACATCCCCGAACTATGCAAAAATAGCGTTTCGCCAGAGACATCCTCAACACATGTATCAAAAGCACGCGTTTCGCTAGGGATATACTCAACTATTTAGTCCGCCGGCCCTCTTCGACCTCGTCGCTTGCCGCAGAATAGTTCCACCGGCCTCCTTCAAGTCGAGGCTGCGGGGTAAGCCTCTAAAGGGAATCCCTAGGCAAGAGCCCTTTCTGGGAACAACATCACAGACTTCAACAATATCATCTGGATCGCAGCCTGTCTTAAAGATTACGAGTGGCCCTCGCACGAGGCTTCGACATTGCTTCACGACGGCGCCCACGCCCAACAGAACTCCTGCATGCCCCAGTATGATGGAAATGAGGCCGGCGGCAGAGGGCGAAGCTCGTACGGATTGACCTCCGTCGGCGAAGTCTGCCACTCGCCAGACTTCTGCGACTTCGGATACGGATGGTCGTTGAAGAACGTGCGAAGCTTGCGAGCCCTCATCCACTCGAACCACTCGTCGAAGTCTGGGAAAGCGGTCAGATTTGGGTGGTCATACTCGCGGTCCTGGTCATTCGCCGTCAGCCGCCAATTCATGTCGAGGCCCCACACATCCAAGGGCAAACCGTCGCCATCCCAACGAAGGATCTCCCCCTTCGCCTCTTCTTCGTCGTATTCGTGCCACCACGTGAACCAAGTGCCAAATGCGTAATCCGGGAGCAGCGGTATCGGCCCCATCAGCTTCACAAAGTCCTCCCTGGCGCCGAGCCACTCCTCCCGCGTGCCCCCCAGGACGAACACGTAAGTGTCGCCCCACACGTCGCCGCTGAAGTCGTAGCCGTTCGTGTCCGACTCTCCTTCTGGCATGGGGGCCACTGCCCACTCGGGAACCACGAAGCGGGGGGAGTCCACAAGACCGTAGGCTTTGGCGGAGTAGCAATGCGGGAAGGTGAGCAGATCGACAGACACCGGCGCAACGGAACTGTCGTAGATGAGCTCTCCGCTGCCGTCGTACACGGCGAAATTCGGCATGCCGCTCTCGAGGAGGCCCACGTTGACTACCACGGTGTAGTAGTCCGTCTGGATCCTGACAGGCTGCACCACCGGGGCCACAACATCACTGGCAATCCAGCCCGTGCGAGCACCCCAGTCGCGGCTGACCACATTGAAGGTGGGACGGTCCTCCCAACCCCATGCGCCCTTGGGTTCCACGCGGACCACGTGCCTGGATATGAGCTGCACGCGCACGGCCCCGCTGTCGCCACCGAAGTCGACCTCGATTTCCGAACCCGAAGATGGAAGAACACAAACTGTGTTAACACATATTTCGGGTTCTTGCACTCTGGCAATATGTGAAGCGCAATATCGTTTCGTTTCGGCCGGCTTTGGCGAATTGTCTCGCGGCCGTGCTCTAGCCCTTGAAGTGCAGTATATAAGAAGCAAACTATACAATGCAACGTATGGGGTGCAAGGTATGTGGTAATAACTGTGGGGTGCAATTCACCCTGCCGAACTTGAAGTTGTCAACTCCACTGCTTCGGCAAGCATCCCACCCACCCCTCACAACTTGGGTTGTAAAACCCACACGACGGCGATTGCGTTGGGTGCTTGGCGTTGGCCGGTGCATCTCTGCGACCGCAGTAGCGCGAGCATGCTCGCGCGCGCGCAGCGAACAGCTAGCGCGGCGCGACCGACGCGGCCGCGGTGGCGCTGACCCTTTCCAGCGAGCACTTCAGTGCGAGTCGGTGACTTGGTCGAGCTCGGTATCATGGCAACGCCGACAACGGTAGACACGATGATGGGAGTAGCGATGACGGTGGCGATGGTGGCGATGACGACGGCAAGGCCAATGACGGCGCCGATGTTGATCACGCCCGCCAATAACGATGACGATGTCGTCGCGTCGGTGATGCAGATTTTGAAGGAGTTCGACAAACGCTTGCGGCCGACGCGCGCGAGTGGCCCGAGCGGGATGATTTGACACGGATCGTGCCCCCAGCACGCTCGCAAGGGCGGTGGGATGAGTTCCACATGCGGAGCGAGAGGTCTGTTTGGCAGAAAGTGATGGCAATGTTGAAAGCCCAATGGTGTCCTTGAGAATTCGCAAGAGCTCGAGCGCAGGCTTGTATTGAACACCGATGCTGCGAAACTATGTGTTTTCATATTTCTGGACACCCGTTTGAAAGATGTCGGCATGAGCGCGAAACGGCGCGCAAGCACACTTCGTCCCAGGTTTTGCAACATATCCTTGCGACAGCACGCGCGCAAAGGCGTCCGATCGAGTTCGACATGCGCGCGCGAGGCCCGTTTGGCACATGTTATGAAACTGTTGAAACACCGATAGTATTCTTGAGAATCCATAAGGGCGCGGGCGAAGGCCCAACTCATTGTTGCTCCGTGTGGTGCTAAAAACATTGCCCTTTGTTTCTGGTCGGCCTTCCGACGGCCCACAACGACCCAAAAAGCCCCCAATGGCGCTCCAAGATGTCCCAAACGGCCTCCAAGATGACTCCAGGACGGCCCCAGAGGCTCCCAAGACGACCCCAAGAGGGCCTCAAAACGTCCCAAGAGGCCCCCTAAACTGCCCAAGAATGCCTCCAAGACGCCCCAAGAGGGCCCCAAGTCGGCTCAGAGAGGCATCAAGGACGGCTTACGACAGCGTCCAATAAGTCTCCAAGACGGCCCCAAGAGGCCTCCAAGTTCGCCCAAGATGGCCTACAAGAAGGCTCTGTGGCACTCCAAGAGGGCCAGAAGTCGGCCCAAAGAGGACCCCAAGGTGGCTTCCGACGGCGTCAGACGGGCCAGGCGCTCACCAAGACGGCCCGAGATGGCTCCACGATGGCCCAAGACTGCCCAAGAGGCCCCAAAGAAATCTTCAAGACGGCCCAAGAGGCCTCCAAGAGGGCCTCCAGGAAGGCCCGACGAGGTTAAAGTCATTCATGCTCCTTTGGTTGTTGAAAGAATTTGGCGTTCGCTTCTTTACGGCCTTCCAACGGCCCGAGACGGCCCAAGAGCCCCCAAAGGTCGCTCCAAGATCGCCCAAGAGGCCTCCTCTATGGCCCCACAACGGCCCAAAGGGCCACCAAGACGGCTCCAAGAGGAGCCCGAGACAGCGAAAGAGGCCTCCAAGACGCCCAAAATGACCTCCAAGACGGCCCTAGAGCGAGCACCCCAAAAAGGCCCCAAGTCGGCCCAGAGAGGCCCCCAAGACGGCTTCCGACACCGTCAGACGGGCCAGTAATGCTTTGAGACGGCCACCGAGAAGCACCCAACGGCCTTCATGAGGCTCAAGGATGCTCCCTAAGATGCCTCCAAGAGGCTCCCAGAAAGCTCCCAGGAGGCCTCAAGACTGCCCCAAGAGGCTTCCAAGATGCCCCCCCTCCTCCTCCTCCTCCTCCTCCTCCTCCTCCTCCTCCTCCTCCTCCTCTCCTCCTCCTCGCCATCCTTCCCCAAGTGTTCCTCGAAGGGTTTCCACAACCTCTGGGGAAACACATGATTCGATAGCTTGGCAGAACTCTTGTCGCAACGCTCGGCCACATGGGCGACTCCAAAAAGCAGGGGGCGGCGGTGATTCGCCGTAGGCGTCTTCGTTCAAAAGCCTTCTTAGTGCAGGCGCTGTGTTGGGGAAACATTTCGGAGGTACGCGCGAATGTCTTGGGTTGGCGCTAGGCCCTCCTACCCACACCCCTGGCGGCGCCTCTGCTGCCGCCCCTGGCACGCTCCACATGCTGGGGAAAGTGTGTGGGAAAAGAGGCCCATTGCCGACCCAACCAGCCCGCGCGGACCTCTGACAAATGATGCCTTACTGTTTTGTGCTCTTCCAGAGGATCTGCTGCCGGCGCCGCCCACGCTAATAGCGAGCAACAAGAGAAGCCGCAGCAGCGTCCCAACCGCGGTAGGGCCTGGCGGTCGCATCGGCGGCAAACCGCAAAGGCTTGATGCTCGGCGCAGCGCGCTCAGGCCAAGATGTATACGTCACGTTGTGGTAGCACCCCGTGCCCAACCTGCAAGCTCGTCGCATCGTCTCGTATCACACAACACCGCGCTGCATCATATGGCACCGATTGGACGTAACGGGCGTCTCATTGATATGCTATGCAATGCTAAGCGAGTTGGCAGCATTCGCCTAGTATATTATATCGTGAATTTCTCCTGATTGATCAAGGTGTATACTGTACTATGCACTCGTGAGTGGCATTGAGACTGGCTTCGTTATATGATGGTGCGTGACCGCGTATACCATTCAATTCGAATTGCACCGATATGCCACTGTATCGCATGGCATCAAGCTACTAAATCAAGGTACTGCATCACGTGCCGTGGAATCCCACCACACCCAATGCCATCATATTGCACGCTGTGCTTCGACACATGTCACGCATGTGGCGCCTCGTTGCATGCCAATTCGAGTATGCACATACGGCGGTGTCTGTGATGAGCGATATCACATAAACAGACCACCACTCCCCAACGCAGCGCGTTACACCAGGCAGCAACTGCACTACCCTGCACCTTCCATCTATGCTGGACTGCAAATTCGCACCAAGGCGCGAACGCGCACGCACACACGCGACCAAAAATAGGGACCTGATATTATACAGTGCTCGGTAATAATGCAAAGAACTTAGGGCGTCCAGATCGTAACAATTCAATCGGTGCACAACCCTAACCAACGGCAGACAAACACACCGTACGAGCTTACGGGCCATTGTGCAGGGGGACACTTGCCAAACCACTTGCATTGCTATGCTCCGCGTGTGTGCGCTGTACTGTACGGTCGGAAAGTCCGGACGGCCAGAGAAATCGAGCAAATGGTCGGGGGAAAACGAGGTGCCCCATCGACCTGACTCAAGGCGGAGTGACATGAGGGGGAAGGACACGATGGAGGCCGCCCTGGGGCCGTCGTGTTGTATGATGAAGGTCGATTCTGGTGTTCGGCGTTTGTGACTCTTGTAATGAACACCCCGGGGCCCCTTGAGACCTCTTGAGGCCTCAAGAGCCTAGCATCACCAGCGGTGTACCTGCGACGTCGGGGTGGAGAACATCGGGACCTCGACCGCGCCACGTCGGCGATGAACTGGCGATGCGGCACGATCCTCCGACCCCATCTCCTCTGGCCCCGTCTGGGCGGCCTGGGCATGAAGGGGCTGTGGGGGTTGGCCTCCCGTTCTTGGTCACTCGGTGAGGCGAACTTGGACCCGAGCACCCCCGACCACAAACCCCCGCAGACCGTGGCGAGGCGGCGCGCTGTCCCGATCGGAACCCGAACTGGGCACGAGAGCCTTTCTGGCCTAGCCAGGCACAGGTGGTTGCGTGATCATCGACCCCTGGCCAAAAAATCAGGACTGCCCATGTTGGGCATGCATTGACAGCTTTATGTAGCTGCATTGTCAATCAGCAACCACGGGAAGGAGCATGCCGCTCCTTGCCCAGATTTGTGGTCGCCGCAATCGCCGCGGCGACCTCCACACCTGACCCAGAGGTTTTGGCCAAGGTCGGATATCACGCCACGACTTCTAGCCTAGTCCGGCACGGGAGCAAGCTGGAAGACCGGCGAGCTGCGCTTGGCGGCGAGCACTGTAAGCGCCGAAGACGCTGTCATGCAGATGGTCAGCGGTTGGAAAACTGCCACGCGAGCGTGAAAATTGTACTGGCTGTGCCAAACTCGAGCGACAAATGGCGTGCTCGAGGTGCAACCGACCTAACGGTCACCACTGATACAAATCCTGATGGTCACGGTCACGGTCGCAGCGGCCACCGTTGATGCAGGTACGAACGGCAGTGTGGTCATCAGCACAGATGCCACCACCAAAGCGAGCTGCTACACATTTAATGACCCATTGCCAAATCTATACACTGTACGTGGCCGTTGCTAGCTGTTCGCGTATGGTACTTCGCGCAATTATAGCACCTCAAACGCTACCAATGCTGCCAACTTAATCATCCAAACCCTCGAACACGACATCGTCGTCGCTGTCGTCGCCACTACCGTATTCCTTCCACTCCGACTGACTCGGATGAAGACCTTCGCTGGTGCTACCAAACTCCTGCCCTCACTTACTACTCCTCCTCATACTTCATCCCAGTTGTCCTCCGTCTTGGCCTTGCTCCTCCTCACCCTTCTCCTCGCCCGCTTCCTCGTCCAACTCTTCCCCCTCCCTCGTCATCCCAATCGTTTCTCAGCCTCCTTCTCCTAGGTGTCGTCCTCCCTCCTCCTCCTCGTCCTCACCCTCCTCCACCTCCTCTGTGATTCCGCCCCACCCCGTTCCCTCACGCTGCCTCCCCTCCCCTATCCTCCACATCCTCTTCCTTCTGGTTACTCTCCCTCCTGCTGCTCCTCACCCCCCGTTCTCCAAGAGCCCCCCCCGAACACCCCTGCCCAGACAAAACCTCTTGATCTTCCTCCTCACCCGTCGTCCCCCTCGTGACGTCCTTCGAACTCATTAGTGTCCGTCTCTTCCTTCTTCCACCAATCGCCTGGTCCACCTGCCTCGTGAGTCTTCCTCCTCCTGCCTCCTCGCCCATCCCACACACCTTTTTTTTTTTTCTCTCTCTCTCTCTCTCTCTCGACACTCATGCTGATTGTCCGCCTTCTCGTCCTTTTTTCCTCACCCATTTTCCTCTACTCCTCCACCACCTCTTGTTCCATGATGCTGTTCGTGCGTACCGCGGTGGTGCAGATGGTGGCCCAGCGGACGGAGTGGGATCTCCTGAACCTGTCCTTCAGCAAACGGAAGGCCACATCAAGGAGACGGGAAGCGCTCCTGGGAAGGTGGCTACCAGGAGCAAAAGTACAAGCTGCCGATGAGCCTCGTTCGCACCCAGCTCATGGAGCGCAAGAAGAAGAAGCAGGAACTCGCAAAAGCTGAGGACCTCCAGTACCTGGGTGATTTGATGGCAACGATCAGCGAGGCTGGGATGGGGCGTCTTCGGGTGAAAAGGAGTCTTGACCAATCGCCCCATCGGGGTAGAGTGCCTGCCGCCGTCGCACAATAACTACAATAATGCACAGGCCGACGAGCAGTCCTCGAGCTCCTACGAGGACGAGAAGCAGTACAAGATGATGTCGCTTGACCTTGGCAGTGCTGAGTCTGATCCCCAGGGGTGGGAGCGTCCTACGTCGCCTTCACCATTCCCTTGGTGGGGTGCCAATCATGAACGGACCTGGATTCCATACGGGTGGACCCCAAATGACGCCAGTAAGTGAATCGGCTACAGCAAGGACGACGACGACAGCTCCAAGACGGCCAACAAGCTAGATATTGCAGTGCCGCGGATCTCGTACTGCTCGAAGGAGGCCGACGACAGCTCGAAGGAGGCCGAAGACCTGTAGGAGTGGAGTGTGCGCCCAGAGTACAAACTGCATCACGACACCAGATCACCGGGACAATTTCTCCATGACCACGACCACAGCGCACGAGCAAGCACATGGTGCCCGTCCGGGGGCACTGAGCATGATATCCGCTTCCCCTCATTGGGGCTGTGAGCGCACCAATCGGATACAGGCACGGACACGACGGCGGCTTTGCTGCTGCGGAGGGGAAGGGGATCAGGGAGAGAAACGAAACGCGCTAAAATAATTCAATGGTCCCTCGGTCATCAATACCCAATCGTAGCACATGAAGCCCAGGACCTACTCAGCCGCAAGACAAACATCGGAGGAACCAGTGCACCCACGCCCGGAGCTAGAAGTGCCAACTCACAGCACCCGAACAAAACACGGAAGGAGGAAGGACGAGGGGAAGAGGACAGAGAGAACGGCCAGATAAGCTGTTGAAGTCCCGGGACCCTCCCAGCCTCAGAGAATCTGAAATCAGGCACGCGGTCCTGCAACTTGCGTGCAAGAGCGTCCCACTGGAGTGAGACAGGCAAGGTTAAAAATTACCCCCAAACGCAACTGAAAGACTGAATGGTGGACGAGGCTATCCACACGGCCATAGGCAGCGCGAGCGAGCAGCGGCTCCTTGGAAGGAGCGGCCAACAAGGTCGGGCGACATGTCAGTGGCCCACCCCCGCACGCAGCCGGCGCGTGCGCCACTTTACTGCACGAGAACGGCCATCCTGGCGCATCCCGTGCCACGACCCCGGGAAAAGAGGAGACGAGAGGGGAAGGACGGAGGAGGGCGAAGAGGAGGGGAAAGACGGGGGCAAGCGTTCACGACGAATTCGCGCCAGAGGCACTTCGAATGAACCGTAAAGCATGCATGGAGGCGACAAGGCCGCGCACATCTCCATCCAACATTGAAGTCGCAGCAAGCACACATTCATGCAAAGACAGGGGGTGTGGGGGGGAGGCGACTTCGCGCCAGGGGTGTATCCAATGAACCTTAGAGCACGCGCGGAAGCCACATGGCCACCCACATCCCCATCCAACTCGGAAATCCCGACAAGCCCGAATTCGTGCCAAGAGGGCGAAGGAGGGAAGGATTGAGGGGGAGAAGGAGGGAAAAGGGAACGCAAAAACAATTCCGACTCCGAGCGTGCGAAATATTGACCACGCGGCCAGGGCAGAGACGAAGCCTGATGAAAGAAATTCGTTATGTTGCCTCCTCCCCGCAACGGCGCTGCAGTCAAGCGCGCGCGACTGGAACGAAGACGCGCGCACTCCAAACCGCCGAGGAGGGGGAGAGGAGGAAGGGGGAATGGGGAGGGAGGGTGGAAGGCAGCAGCAGCAGCCGACGATGACGACGACGACGGCGACGAAGAGCGAGAGAGGGGGGGGGCGAGGCGAGCGGGACGGAGGGCCACGCCTCGACCATCGAACAGGCAACAGCGCTCAGCGCGCGCCCGCCGCGCTCCACGCGGGGCGGCCGGGGAAGAGGGAGGGGGGGGGGGGGCGCGACGCGACCGACGACGCAGCAAACGACGACAGGAAGGAGGGAGGGAGGGGGGGGAAGGCGCGGATGGAGTCGAACGAAAAAGTACAGCCTGCGCGCCAGAGCCGCAGCCCAGAACGTTATCCAACGGAAGGAGGCGGCGCAAACCGCGCGCGCCCGCCGCGTCCTGGCGGCTTGAGGGAGGAGGAGGAGGAGGAGGAGGAGGAGGAGGAGGAGGAGGAGGAGGAGGAGGAAGAGGTTCATGAGGAGGTTCAGGAGGAGGAGGAGGAGGAGGAGGAGGACGGGGAGGACGAGGAGGAGGAGGAGGAGGAGGAGCAGAAGGAGGAGGGAGGACAAAAGAGACTGAACTGCCCTGCTGTTGCGCCCAAGCAACAAAAGAAATGGCGAGCCCGCGCGTTGCCTCACGAGAACTCACGCGCCTTCTGCCGCAAGGCGCCCTCAGGGGTGCACGCCCCAGCGTGCCGTTTCCAGCAGTGCGTCAGGTAGACGCTGCACGTCAGGCGCGCGCGGCGCTGCAGCTCCCCCGAAGCAGCCGCGCTCCAGGCCGGCTCCAGCAGCACGAACCTCGCGAGCCTGGAATGACGGGTGGCGGGGCGGGCCAACCCGAAGTGCGTCACTCCGAATAATGCTCGATGGAATCCTCGCCCACCACGCATCCGAAGACGCATGCTGCATGGCCTTGGAAACGGCGCGCGGTGATCCACCCGTTTCAGAGGGAGCGCAAGCACGCCGCGAGAACGCGGGGCAGCACCGCCCGGGACACGGCCAGATACGCGGCCAGCGCCCTGTCGGCCATCTCCTGCAGTCATGCCGCATAGCCCGCTGTATCCCTGTGATCACTGGGGATACAAAAAAAGCATATTGCGACTCAGGCGACGACCAGGGGCCTACCTACGAAAATGTTGGGGGGAGTGGTGAATTGTCTAAGGCCACTGCCGCTACACACGTTTGGAATTAGTGGACTATTGCCAAGGGTATGTTATTATTACCGCGATTCCCAGGAAAAGACTTGAGGGCTCTAGGTGTATGTTTCGGTTTTTCTACTGTTCTAGTCTCAGTTGTCCCGTGTCGTTTTCGGTCCCTCTAGAGTTTCTGTGGGGGGCCCTGTCTTCTTTCTCTTCCCTTCGAGGTGTCGTCGTCGTCGTCGTTTCCTCCTTGCTTGGGCCCCCCCCTCACCCCTCTGAGGAGTCTGGGAGGGAGGCCCCTCTGTCTTGTCTCACAGGGCTCTCTAGGTAGAGTTTCCTGCAATGGGGCGCCCCTCTCGGACTCCCCTGAGGGGCGCCCTAGGCCGGCCATAGCAGTTGGCTGGGCCCATTCCATATCCTCGCAAAGGCCCAATTGTCTTGCTCACGGCAGGGACTTGCCTCCGATGCACTGATCCTTATCCCTATCCACCCTGATAGTCCTCCTCATCCTTTTCATCCTCCTCCTCCTCTTCTTCCTCTTCTCAATCCCTTGTCTATAACGAACCCCGCGTCCCTTACCCTCCTCCTTCAGTCCGGGGGGGGAAGAGGGAGGAGGGATGGGGGGAAGGGGGGTTGACAGCCGCGGTGCCCACGAGCGGCCACTGGAGGCAAAACAACAAAGATATCCGCCTACCCGAAATCGGTCCCCGGACCCGCCCAATGGGGCGCTTGGCCAGGACCGCGAAGGGCCGCGAGGGAATGGAGTCCAACCTCGGCGGCCAGGAGCACCCAGGATGCCCGAAGAAGCCAAAACACATGCAAAAACTCAAATCCTCCAAACTCGATCATGCTCCTCCTCCTCCTCCTCCTCCTCCTCCTCCTCCTCCTCCACTTCATCCTGCTATTCAACCTCCTGCTCCTGCTCCTGCTCCTGCTCCACCCATCCTCTCCGCGGGACGGCCGAGCCCATGCCGTCACACCTCCTCCGCCAGCGATGGCGTGGCAATGGTGATCGGCAGGTCTGGGTGCTGAGGATGCCTCAGAGGGAAAGGTCAACGACGACGAAGGAAAGAGCGGGACAGGGACGCGTAGGCGGTGGAGGAGGCTGCGGAGGATGCGTGGTCGGGAAGGATATGAGTGAGGAGGAGCAGCAGCAGGAGAAAAGCGAGAAGCAGTGAGACTGTGAGGCTACATCGAAGGCCCCCTCCCGGTCGCCACAACGGGCGCGTGGCTGGACGAGTCCTCAATCTGAGGCAGCTCGAAGAGAATGACACTCTTCAATGCCCCTTACGCATGGTGCCGGGGGTAAAACCCACCACTGCCTTGGGGCCGACTGATCACCGATTACCGACCGGACACTGAAACTGTGAAAATAGCGAGTAGTATCAGGGAGAGTTGGAAGACGAGGAGTACGATGAGCAGCAGTGGGGAAGAGAAGGAGGGGAAGGATCAAAGGGGCGCGAGCATGGGGTTTCGAGGATGAAGAGGAAGCCGACAACGAGGATGGTGCATTGGAAACAAAGTATGAGCAGGAGGATAAGACGGGCTGGCGCCAGATGAGGAGCAGGAGAAGAATGGGTCCCCGTTCTCCTCTTTTCCTGACCACCTCTCTCTCCACTCTCCTCCTCCAGTCCTCGCCCTCTTCGTGCATCCTCACTTTTGTCGACTCCCTCCTCCTCCTCCTCCTCCTTCTCCTCCCTCTTCTCCTCCTCCTTCTCCTCCTCCTTCGGTCTTCACCTAGACCTACGTTGCACTATTGGCTCAGTTGCCTATATGTCAGAGAATAGGGCGGTGGTGGAGGGGTGGCCAATTCATCACATTACTGTGTTTTGTATTCCTTCCGATCCCTCTCTACTGGGTATCTTAAACGTTGCATCCCTTCCAATCTCGTCATCGGTAACGCTGCTGTTGATGAACTATCTGGTATATGCGCGGGAGGAATTCGTTTGCCTCAAGCTTAGCGCGTGGCTCAGGAGGTGGAGGCCAAAGCATGTCAAATCGGAAACGACTAATGAAGGCCCAATTGGATGTCATGGCAATGACGAGTAAGAAGCCTGATCCGTGCAGCCCATCTGTTCTTGCAGTCTCGCATCCTCCTCCGCCCCAGCCACTGCCGCCGTCGGCTGCTGCTCTCGCTTTTCCCTTTTTGCCCCACTAAATTGACGCCGCGGGTAGCAGGTGCACGAGATGTTTCTCAGCCGTAAGCCGTGCTGCACGAGCGACGTGACTAGGCACCGCTTGCGACCCGCCTCGGGCCGTCCGCGGAAATCTCTCTCGGGGCGGCCTCAGGGGGAAGAATGCACATTGGTGGGGGTTCCGTGCACACTTCGCATACCATGTATCATCACACGGCCAGTGGTTTCTGGCTTTGTACATGTGTGCTCGGTGTTTGGGTTCAGATCAGATTCGTGATCTTAACAAATTGTGTCTCTGGCCATCTCACCGTCAGGCTCGCCGTCGGGAGGCGTGGAATTCTTGATGCAATGTCCAGGGGCTTTGAGACCCACGGACGAGTGTCTGTCAATGGCTTGTTGTGACGCTTCGCGTCTGTTCCGAGTCCGATTCCGGTTCCTCCTGCTCATACTATTTCGCATTCTTGAGATTCTAGGCTAAAGCCACGCTCGGGTTTCGCGCGCGCGCGCCTTCAAGCTCTAGCCCGAAGGGTCCGACGCCTTTAATTGTCGAACCTCGGACCTCGGACTACCCCCCGGATACCGAGAGGTACAGCTGCATGAAACATGGCGTGAAGTGCAACTGGAATTCTCTTCGTCGCCCATGTTCATAGACGTCCAGCAACAAGTTTGTTCAATGCGCGGTCCGTGGACTGAGTTCGCCAGCGGCCGACAGTGGCCGCCTCGTGGTTTTGCCATGTTTTCGCCCAGGCGCCGCCCGTGGCCGCCTTGTGACCACCGACTGGTACGACAAACATGTACTCATGCCTCGTCTACCGCACTAACTACTGAACGAGTGGGTGGGTTCCCCAGATGTTCGCCAGGTCACTGCTAGCGACCCCCTCGTGAACTCCTCTATGTTTCGCCTGCCTCAGGCTTGTCGCACTGCAAGCAAGCACGTATCACCCCCCCTCCTCCTCCTGCTGCTCCGGCTCCTCCTCCAGCTGCTGTTCCTCCTGATGCTCCTGCTGGCCCTCCTCCTGATGTTGCTGCGGATGATCCTCGCCCTCCTCCTCTCCGAGGAGATTGGAACAGACTTGATCTTCCACAGTCGAGCGCGGCCCCATGGCCAGGCGGACTGTATAAAGGTTCCCAATTAGCCCCACGACAGCCTTTCTCTGTGGACGTCATCTGCACCCCCCCAAACGTCCTGGCTAGACTTCGGGGAATCCGACGTCAACAACAGTCGAGAGCCTTTACTTCACGTGCATCGGTAGTGGGACACAAGTGTCTTTCACTTCCACAGAGGCATGGGCGGCGGTGATTCGCCAAGACGGACACACTGAGGACATGACGGTGTCGCGTTTCAACTTCGCGCGAGCTCTGTAATTACTGCGTGAGGGCGAGCATACGCATTACAACAACCTGCGCACGCCTTCGCGCGAGTGCGGTTGGGGCATCCTGCGCGAACCCTGCGCAAATGATACCTCGCTCCACACTTTCGCGAGCTCGAGTGCTGCCGCAACCCGCAAAGAAATGCGGGCCGCAACGATGTCGATTCAGAAGCAAGCCCAACACTCGGCGGTGGACAAATCTTTATTAAACCTCCATTTAGTGAAAACGGCCTAGGACCGAAACCGACGGACCTGGACCCGCAAAAATGACGGCCGCGACGCCCTCTCGCGAACCGAAAACGGCCATTTTGCTAATCGACATGTCAGGGTAGGAGGTTTATCAACCTCCGAACACACACACACACAATCACACACGAAACATGCACTCACGAATGAGCTTCCGTCGAGGCGGGGCGAGCCTTCGACACGCTCGCCGCAGCTGCCACGCCTTGGCTCCCACCACAGCGCCAGCCGCTACTTGGCCAATCCGCCGTCGGCCCTACCTGCGTCCAGCCTGCCCCTGCGAGCCGACAAATGCGTCGGGGCGGAGCTTGCTACGACCACGCCTTAGCTGAAAATGCCTCAACGCACACGCAGCTTCGGCTTGCACCCGGCCTGAATCGAAAGAGCCTAGTTCACAGTGGCGGCGGCGAGAGCCAGGAAAGACGCGACGCGCAATGTTTCCCACTGGTCTGAATGAAAGGACTACTGTGTCGAGCCCTCTCAGTCTAGCTCGAAAGAGTCCGTCCAGACGAGCGGCGCGATCGTCGGGGGCGACACCGTGTCGTCAAACTGCAGCGGCGCCCAGAATTGCGGATCGTGGCTCTTCAGTTTGTCCGTCGCTGAGCTCCACAAATCAGCGGTGCATACGTAGCCGGTGGCATCACCCACAACGAACCTGCAGCACGTAATTGTTCTGCGAGGGGACGACATGCTCATTCACGCTCCACGGCCTGAAACGATTGACGTCGTAGCCTGTACCCGTCCAATCGCCAAGCGGATGGCGTGCGACCAGCACGCGCGCACCGGCGCCTCTCATGCAGAAGCAGCACGTGTGCCCATACATGAGGTAGTACCAGCCGCGCCGCCGAAACAGGATGGGGGCCTCGTGGCCCGAAGGCGACCACGCGGGGGTGGATGTGGAATAGCTCAGATGGCACAAGCATAATCCATCAACCCCGCAGACGCGGGCAGTAGCGGGGGACTGCTCTGGGCTCTGGACACAAACAGCAGCCAGGACAGAAGACCGCCGAGGGCGCCTCTCCTGGCATCTCCCCTGCACTGGAGGCACAACCAAAAACTGCTATGCCTTCGGCTCTCGGAGGTCCGCGCCGCAGGCGCCGCCAGAGGGCGCCAGCGCCGATCCAAGAGATCCGCGAGAAGCGTCGAAGGATTGAGCTGATGCCGAGTTTGCCTTCGGTTCCAGAACCGATCAGCAGCAAACAGCGCGGCCATCTGCAAGCGCCCAGGCTGGGCCTTGCAGCCACGGGCCCCGGGCCCCCTGGACGGGCCACCCGCGTCCCCGCGAC